ATTTTATTAAAATTTCCTATTATAGAGGTTTTGCACTATATGTTGGTATTTATAAAAAATAATTGTTAAGCCCTGCCATTTTTGTCATCCTAACAACCTGGCACCTGACAACAACCTTGTCAAAATGATCTTCAAAGGACTAACTGCAAATATCGAAAACATGCGAAATTATGGTGTTTCTGGGCGGAGTTATATTTAACGTAACAATATCAAAAATGAAGGATATTGTTTACCAAGTGAAATTAAATTCTTTCAACTAAATAATTAAATACTAAATGAAAGTTAATTTTATTAATATAATTATTAAATGAAACAATTGTCAAAGAGCCGACTTATCATTTAATTTGGCTATTGGTCACGACAAACTCTGGCCAAATGACACTTGCAAAATGAAAGATAAATTTTCAATTTATTATGATATATAATATTAAGATTTTTCATATACGATATTATATAATAAGAAAAGCAAAATCTATTTATGGTTATTTTGGTCAAATGATTCTACGGTCCATTTCTAACAATATTTTCAATGCTTTCGGCCCTCCACTATTTTTTTTTTTTTTTTTTTTTTTTTTTTTTTTTTTTTTATAGTTACTTTTTTTTTTTTTTTTATTTTTTCTCTCCTTTTTTTTTTTTTTTTTTTTTTTTTTTTTTTTTTTTTTTTAAATAAAAAAATATATTTTTTTTTTTTTTAATAAAATTCAGGAAATAATTAATTTGAACTATATTAATAGTTTCATAAATTTACTTTTATTTTTATACCTTATCGTTTTCCTCATGTCCTGGTCCATAACACGTTACTTCTTGTTTATCATCGTCTAGCATTATTTTATGGCTGTGAAGAGTAGCTCCAGTTTGAATATGCCTTAAAGTAATTATATCGCCAATTAGCCAATATCCAGAATTATCGTAATTGTTAGTGTAGCTGTGTCTTTGAACATGCCAGTTATCGTTCAAATCACTGACACGTTGATCACCTTGACAAATTACTAGAAGAAATTTGAAAGTTTGAAGGAAAATAATAAATCAAAAGTTCTGACGCACTAAATGATTCTTTTTCTTACCTTGTTGATTACTAATTGGAGCATTATAGTCTGGATGTGAGCGTAGAAAACGTTGTGATTTTATATGCTTGAGTCGTATTTGAGTGTTAAACGGAACCACCTCTCCCACTTTCGACCGTCGTTCACCGTAAGCTTGAATAACCGTCCACAATTCATTTTCTGATTTTAACCGAGATGCAAATATCTATCGGGATGGGGAGGAGGTGAAAGAAAAAGGAAGGATAAGGGACATATGATATTTTTGTTTACCTTCTAATTATAGATTTGACTTCAAAGGATTACATCGACACTAGATTATGGTTCATGATTTCAATGTTATTTTCCTACCCCAAAATTCTGAAATCCAAAATTAATGAAATTACAATCCTATTTAAATTGTATCTAATTTATTTTATTTTATTTTTTTTTTTGATTTTTGAACCACATTATATAGTTTACATTTAGCTTCAGACAAACCTGAGCTTTGTATTCATTATTAGTTGATGTCTCGTTATTGTTAGGTGATCCACTTAAATATCTTGACGTGGTTATATGTCGAAGGACAACATAAGAACCAAATCTAATATGTTCGTCAGCTGTTACATTCTGTTGCTGAAAATGTGAATTATTTTGCGATTGTAATGATGATTCTTGAGTTGTAATAATGGGCCAGTTCAACGTTTGTCTTTCTTCAGAGTCTATGCCACTTTCATTCCCCATAGTTTCCATTTCGTGTTGATATTTAAATCACTTAGACTATTAAAAACAATCGATAAAAATAAAAAGTTTAGATTATTTTTCACTTCATAGTATAAAAGAACATGACGAAATAAAATAAAAACAATTTTTGAATTGTACGGACGCGAACAGGTTCTATGAATTAATAAACAACCGTAAAGATCTTAGTGTTGCTACACAAAATGATGTCATGCATGTAAACACTGATTATGATGTAAACTTGCATACTCGACAAAAAAAATTGGGTGTTTAT